GAATCATGGAAACTGTAGTTTATTGTGGCACCAGAGTTCTCTGACAGAGAAGGCTCAATGTCTCAGAAATGTCTTTGATTCCCTAGCACTGAGCCAAGGCAGTTAAAGTGGACTCAATTTGCACTATTTCTAGCAGTCTGCAAAGGCCCTCTGTCACTCTTCCAGTACAAATTTATGTTCCTTTTTCCAAAATAGTGTCCTCTTCCTAATGAATCAGTGCAGTTAGGCACACCTCAAACTATTGCATTTTCCCTTCCAGCAGGGTAACCAGCTAAATCCCAGGTTCATGGACAGTGATATTATTCCAAGTGAATGGAGGAGGACACTGGGTTTCCTAGTATTACAGAGGGCTAAATCTTTCCCACGGTAGCATAGCCACCAACTGCCCCAAATTGCTAAGGGCAGTCCCAATCAATCTTCTGTGTCTCCCCTGTTTTGGTAGCTTTTAAAATATCCTAGTTTCTCTCTCCTTCTCCTGCTTCCACTCCTTGTCCTCAGCTCACTTCAGCTGCTGAAAATTGAATTCAAAATGCAGTCAATTAATGCAGCCAGAGCAGAAAAGAGAATGAGATGGAGTTTTGCCGTTCCCTGTAGGCTCAGGCAAAAGCAACCTGCTACAGCTTCTCCTATATGTTCTTCCTCATTAATAACTTTTGCCATGTTGATCACATTCTGATGTTGCTTGGCCACACGTGTTATGATTGCAGTCTGTGAAATGTTAGTTTGCTGAAGTCCACCCCTGAAACATGGCAAGCACATAGAAAAGTAACTTTTTTGAGTCACAACTCAAAGAATCTCCCTAATAGTATGTTCATTGATCATGGTGTTCCCCAGACTAGTGTGGCCAGCAGTCATTCTTGCTATGGCAAGGAGGGTGCCTGTACATTGTTCTCCATGCAGATTAAAACTGCATCAATATCCTATGCATTGATATAGAGCCAGCAAGCACCAGCCCCTTTTATAAGCAGATGCATTTTCAGCATCTACCAGTCCCAACTTCTCTGTTCCCTCTGAATGTCACTGAAATCATTAGAGTGTCTAGAGTGGGTGATGGAGGTGTGTGCCAATTTTCCTGGGTACAATAATGTAGGTATCCTTATTTGTGGATATTTGGGGGTCATTTGGCCTTCAGTTCTCATTTAAAATCGACTGGGTTTAGTATGGAAATATAAATAAGCAAAAAATATAGACACAATTCAAGAAACTTAAGAATAGATGGAGACTTATTAGATGGAAAATAATGAGATGAAACTTCAACTGGGAAGGCAAGGAAATTAACTTAAGCTTGATAAGAAACATGCTGTTTCAAAGTTTTAATTGTGAGTTTGTATTATTTTTTTTGTAGGGGGAGGGAGAGATTAGTTTGGGTGGTGGGATTAGGTTGAGGGGATCTGTGTTTTTGTAAGATGTATAGTGTATGTATTTGTTTGATTAGATTGTATGATATGTATGTGTTTAAATATAAAATAAAAAATAAAGTCAACTGGGTTTACAAAAGACCTACTCCTACTGCAGATGGGAACTATTAAAACTGTTTGAGGTGGGTGGAAACCACATATCACAGCTGTTTGAATTTTGGAGCTTGCCTTAGAGATATGTCCTCTGTGGGGACTGTTGTGATGATGCTGTACTTCAGAAAGTGTTGTACCACTCCATATCATGCATCATGTCATGTCTGGGTGTTCTTGTCTCTTCATTTGTATGATCTTTCCCCTTTTTATCCA